GGATAAACCTAATCTCAGCATCATAAGTGTACCGTTATCTGGTGAAGTAAAGGCCCTTACAGCGGTGTGTGTGCGCGTGTGCGTGCGTGCGTGCGTGCGTACTCAAGTGTGTACAATCATGGCATACATTCCTCCAGCACCTTGTAGCCCTGTTACAGCAGAGCAGCGATGGGCCTTGTTCCAACAGCAACACAGCCTTACAGTTTACATCCGAGCCGTGTGTCTCGGTCAGGAGTGAGAAGCATGTTTACAGATAATGAAAACACATAATTGGGAAAGACAGGAGCAGTCTGGATGTGCTGTATAAATCAATTGTTTATTATCATGAGACATTTTAAAAGCTCACGGCTGATGTTTTGTTTCATTGAGTAGTTTGTTTAATATGCTTTATTGCTGCGAACACGTAAACTAACATGCTTTAATTACATTATTACTGTATGGGTTAATTATACTGTAGGCATGTGATATTTATTTGGGCTATTGTTATAATACTATTCTTATTTTGTAGGGTAATAATAATAATAAACCAAATAAGCCTTGTTATATTACATTGTTATATCAAAACTATGATACCGTTACAACCTAGTACATTTAGTACACATTTGTGCATGAATAGAGAAGTTGATTGTTAAGTAGGCCTAAAGAGTCAATACAAAAATAATGAGAAATCTATTGTAAAGAAAGAATGCCATCAAGGTTTACTGGATTGAATTGAGTGATTACTTTTTAAAGAATAATTTTACATGTAAAGGAACAAGGTCCAGATGGAAATAAGATCGTTTAAAGTGTATTTGAAAAATGTCCCCCTTTTAACATCAGTTTTTTCCTGCACTGCCCAACAGAACAATAAGCGAAGCAGTATTGGTACTACCACTATTACATTACATTTTACTTGTTACACGCTTTTATCCAAAGCGACTTACATACTCAATACTGTGGACAATCCCCACAGGAGCAATTTGGGGTGAAGTGTCTTGCCCAGGGACACAACGACATGCTGACTGCAGTGGGGTTTGAACCTGTGCTCCCCTGATCCGAACACCAACGCACTACGCCACACGCCTCCCACTATTAAGAATAAACTTTGCTAAATGGCTTTATATGGAATTTAAAACAACAATTCAGTGTTTTTCATAAACAATCACTTCATATATATTAGCAGCAGATGTGACAGAGACATGAAGTGGAAAAAAAAAAACACGCTCCACTCCTACTGCAGATTCTCACGCATGCTGCACATTGTTTGGCATGTAAACCGTTCCCTCTTTAGAGGTATAGGGAGGCTACTTCAGTCATGAACACACACATGTATTATGGAGAAACAATGACGGATAAATAGTAAATTCAATAGAGAAGCAGTCGGGCTGTTGAGTGAATGTTGTGTAGCTAAAGCAGTGTGCGGTCCTGGGTCAGCCAGCAGCATGTGAGCGTTAATAAGGGGGGTAATTGAATTAGAGGATCAGTGGAGGCCTGTAGTGTGGGCGCCACACGGCTCTAATTTCATTACAACTGATGTAAACATGAGGTTGGCCCCCAGCACAGGGGCCTCCCACATCAATACATGCACAACTCACACAAAAATACAAGGCTCACATATAAAAATTTTTTTTACAAAACATCAAATTTACACCTGCTCGTCTCAAGTGATATCTTTTCCCAGCATGCAGATGTTTCAGCCTGTGTGTTCGTGAGGGTTGTGAGCTTTCACTAATGAAGTAATAAAGGTGAATCAGGGGGGAAATCAGTATTATGTGGCACGAGAAAAGCAGGAACACAGCATCAGCTATTCAGAATGTCATTAAATCTTGTGCAGCACAGGCTCTCTGGTTAGTGCTGTTGTCTCATAGCAAGAAGATCGATTCTCAGCCCTTTCTGTGTGCTGTTTATGTTATCTAAATATGAATAAAGAAATGATAAATCTGGCATTTATGGTTGTGTAGGCGAGAGTCCATGACACATTAAGATGACGCTAGGGAATATTTTTACTTCGGTTTGTTTGGAAGAACATGATGGGCACCCACAGCCTATGATATCCATCCTGCCAAGTGACTGTGGCTTTTTTTTTCTTCTCAATTTGCGTGATGCATATTTATGATCAGCCCTCGAATGTGCCTTGGCCTGATGATTCACTTGACCATCAGACGGAGCACAGCCCAGTAAATCCGTAGGCTTGTCTGTAGGCCTTCTTCCTGTGATGAATAGTTATGAGGGCAGGAGTTAACCAAAGAGACCGAAGACAAACTGCTTATTTTTTCTGCCACTTTCCTTGATCTCAAAAACTCCTGAAGTTAATCCCGTAAAAAGAGTTATGTAAACGTCCTCTTTTGCAGAATATCAACTATTATTCCACATCTTAAATTCCTTTTACAAATCTCCATGCCTAAAGCCCCTGTCACACTGTCCCGAAATTGACACCCGATGGACACACGATTAAGGAAATGTTCAAATTCGGCTCTGATCGTAACAACATCGGGCCATTCGTGAGGGCATCTTAAGCCATCGTATGACCGCCGGTGGAGTTTCTCAGGCTCCGGCAGCAACTTCGGGAGCGGTGGCAACATCTTTGGCATCACAAAGCATTGCCGAAGGACCTTGTGAAGGTTAATTTTCGTGTTGACTTCGTGTGTCCATTTTGCCCTTCGTAAGGCATTCTTGAGGGCATCTTAAGCCATCGTATGACCGCCGGTGGAGTTTCTCAGGCTCCGGCAGCAACTTCGGGAGCGGTGGCAAAATCTTTGGCATGCCAAAGATGGCTTAAGATGCCCTCACGAATGTCCCGATGTTGCTACGATCAGAGCCGAACATTTCCTTTATCGTGTGTCCTTCTGGTTGTTTTATTGCACAACAAAATCATGTAAACATATTATGTAAATAACCCAATTTGTGTTCTGTGAAACTAAAAAGGATATAATATATTATTTTGAAGGCGAGGAAATTGTTGTTGCTATGGAAGCAACATGACGGAGAAAACTTAATATCCTCTACATATAAAGACGGAGAAAGTAAAGAACAAAGTCGGAAAATATCAGTACAGTTTCATAATACTTTAACATAATTGTTTGTGTTACTTTCGTTGCAGTTGTATGTCTTAAATGTATGTAAATGTTGCCTTCGTGTGTGGTTCGAGGCCATCTTGGTGCGAAATTCACAATTCCATATTCGTGTGTCCATCGGGTGTCAATTTCGGGACAGTGTGACAGGGGCTTAAAAGAGGACAAGCAACAACAGAGAAAGAAAGAAGGCTAAACAAACTCTGTACCAAAGTAATAAAAAAAACACCACTTCTGTCAGGATTGCTCACAGGAAAACCCCCACGCTGTATAATACAAGAAGCTGTAACGGCTGCAGACAGCTTGTGTACACGGGGAAGATACCTTTACCAAAGCGCGTCTGCGGTTTGTTGATTGCATCTCCTTCATGAGATAACAGAGCTGCAGGCTAATGGAGCTTGCTGAAGAAGTGCCTCATGCTCTGTCAGTTTTTCATTACCACTTCACTCAGTCTTACGTAGGATCGTTCAGTATTGATAATTACTGACGCAATGCCAAACTTTCACCATCCATAATCGGCTGTTTTTCCACTTCGGGGAATTAAAAACACCATCTCCAACCCACTCACCCGCCACCTCACCAACACTCCTGTTCCATAGTCGCTTTCTCTGTTGACTGAGCGATGAAGAACACCTGCTTAATGACATGATGGCATGCAAGATGACTTCAAAAGCAGTCGTTTCTCAGCAACCACCACAGGTAAGAGGGAAGAGCTTTTGTGTGAGCAGATCTTTTTCAAGGATGCGTATAATTATCTGAAGATTTACAACTGAATGAAGGCAACCACTGCCAAGTAACACCATAAACTACTAAACAACATTCTGTCTGTAAATGAAATATCCCTTACACAGAAATGTCGCGGGATCTTTCGATAGTTTTACAAATGTGTGGTTGCCTGGATTCTGCTGCTGCACATGACTGAAATGGCAGGCGAGAGTATAAAAATAAAGTTCACACCACCCTCATTATGAGAACCATTATAGTGAGCGGTGCTAACCTCGCACCCCTATAGACTACAGCTGGCGAACGTTAACTAGAAGGCCATGCTCTCAGTATGTGAGACAAGAAGCTTTGAGGGTTGAGGAAGGAGGCAGAACATTTTGTGTACGTTTTCGCTATATATCCAAATCGGAAACTAGGGAACGATAATGCAGACCGCACTTTTGATCATTTCTTCTGTCACAGCTACTACCAATAACATGTATCTCTCCTCAGGTCCTTAGGAAATGTAAATTCAAATTGATTAAGATTCAAGAAAAAGCTTCTAATAACAAAGCTTCAGTTAAGATTCAGACTAAATATGTCACTCATATCGTCGCCTCCGTGACAACAAGAGTCTGGTGAGTGCTCAGGAGACACAGACCCCCGCCAGCAAGCACACATACACGACTCATCTCCTTTGCGCAAGCACCACACTAAGGTTTAATCGATGCAGCTCATTCATATTGAACCACAGACGTCAGGGGAAGCCGGGGGAATTACAAGCAGCCTTCGCTGTGAGATCGCAGCAAGCTTGAGGAAGAAGAAGCAAGCTTCACTATGGATCTAACGTTTACTTTCCAGCAACATGGCTACTTGGTCTCTTCACACCACAGGAAATGAAAAAGAACATGTAAAACAGTACTCTAAACAAAGGTATCCCAAAAACACAGAACGCCATTTTTTTTATTATCAAGCATCCACTTAGCTATGAGAAAATTAACCCTTTGACCTCAGTAGAAGCGTTTATCCAGCGTTAACACAAACATAGCTCATTTGAAAATTAAAACAACAACTGGAGGGAAAATAACTCATGCTTCAAAAGTTCACAATCCAAAGCAGAGAGAGGGGAACATGAACTGCAGACAGTCGCTTTAAGCAAATGCCTCCACACTCTTCAACTGCCTCTAATGGACCATGCCCAGCCCAGCATCAACAAGCCTTTATCTCCCTTTCACTCAGAGAACTCACCAGTAACTGCTGCTTTAGCCTTTGGTGGCTAAGGGTCTCCGGGTTGAGTCGTCGGGGTCCGCTGTTGTTCTCTAGAAGACGAAAGCTGTCCAAATGCTGCAAACGTGGGAGCTGGAGCGGCAAAACTTCCTTTCTCAGCTGTGGAGGAAACAGAAAATGGTTAGTTGTCAGCATTCCAATGACCGTTTTACAGTTTAATTGAGCAGTTTTTTGACAACTTATTCCAAAATTCCCTTCACCCCTGCTAGTCCCACTGGTGATGAAATCTGCTAGCACTTTCTCTGAGTGCTGCTCAGAGCCAGCAGGGGGTCTAAGTGGAAAAACAGCTAACAGCTACACTCATGCAGTGCAAACAGTGTGCTCTCTCTTCATTGATCTTTACAATCTCATTCTGACAATAGAAGGAATTTACTTGACTACCTGGCCAACTGCTGCCGTCAGCACACATTCGACAAAGTCTAGTTTAGTCGATTTTCAAATCACGCTTGATAGAAGAAAAAAAATAATGGATCTGCTGTGAAATCAAATCCTGGTGGACTGTGCTTGTGAATCTGTGCATTTCACACAAGACATCACGTGATTGGTTTAATGGGGGACTTAAATTGTATTATCTCAGTCATCCAGTTGTTGAACCCAGCTCTGTCTACTTCCATCCCAAAATCTGCAAACAACCAAGCAACATGTTGGCCGAGTTTATCAATGAAAAAAACACTTAAGCACTTGTTCAACCAGATACTTACAAACCCACACCCAGGTATAAGATGCCAACAAGCTAAAATAACATCCTCTCTCCATGTATAACCACTTAGCCAGCAATGCTGATAGCACTACCTAAACCGCTTGTTATTGCCAAGCTAGTGGAGCTGGCTGGAAATAATAATGCCCCCTATTAAATTATTCATGCCTCCAGTCAGGTGGAACCAGATGCTGCTTTTGTGTCATAGAGGGAGAGCTGTAACTCGACTCAAGCATGGGAGGCCATCGCTGCGTGGAGGTAAAGACTTCATAGAACAAGCATGTATGCTACTGGGCTACAAACAAAACATAGGATGTCATGACACCAGGCTGGCTGTTTCATGTGACATTTTATGCCTGTGTTCAGAAAGACGAGGACGATGGTTCAGTAGGTTAGTCCTAAGGGGGGCGAAGCCTGAGGTGCCTCTCGCAGTTCACCAACCCTGGTTGGTGTCGCTGTAGCCCACTCTGACATTTGTTGCCATGGCCAGAAGATGACCTTTTCTGTCCATGCCATGCTTTAGTGCTGAATACTAATGCTCTGGTGCTGTGTGCCCGCCCCTCATGGGAACAAGCAGGGCTATTTTTAGCCACGTGTCCCCAGCTGCACATCTCCAACCCGGGGCCAATGGGCAATTAGTGTTTGTTTCTAATGGCAGGAGGCAGTGCCGTAGCCTCCCAAACTCAAGCAGACATCTGGACAAACACTGTTCCTGTCCTGCCTTGTAACCCTGCCCCAAGGCACAGCTCCTAAAGCCATGTCGTCCCTCCATCAACCTGAAACTCCCCAACATCAGCTGCCATCCACTATGGATACAATGTGACTTATTTACAAACTCATGTGTTGAATTTGTTATAATATTAAAAGATATGCTCAAAGATTGCAGGTCAACCCCTTTGAGAACCTATGAATAAGCCTAGCAAAAAAAGATATTGAGGGATGCCCACAACATTGTCTCTGGCCCAGACTGTGTCCTGACCAGCGAACATGATCCTTTATCATCAAATTGGGGCCCACCAACTAATATGGTTTGGTTAGACCTAAGAACTCTTTGGTGCATCAGTCAATCCTAAAATGAAGTTAAACCCCATATCAAATGTACCAGCATTTGGGTAGTCCATGCCTACTTATTTGTCAAAGGGGCCATTGATTTTAATGTTCCAATTACGGTACTGTATCTCAGAACACTACATGGAGTTGGACATAGAATTACAACTAAACATTATTGCAGGGAAGCAACCTGTGGCAGCACCCACCTGTTGCTCAAAGTGACCACGCCCCTGATCACTTGTAACTTTAAGCCTTGACTCAATAAAAGTTCATAATCCAACAGTTGTAATATTTAGGGTGAACAATTAGTAATAGAGAAAAAAACACGAGTTGTGTAAAGCTGAAAAACATGTTATATAGTTGAATATTTTAACATGGGGTATATGGAAATTGACTCGATTTTTGAGCCAGCCTCAAGTGGCGGCTCAATGAACTGCAATTTATTTGTACTTTGGCAGATAAACTTTTACCGCTCAGACCTGCTGGTTGCAGCTTGGGTGTCAGAATTGTTCAGTTACAGATTCTCTCTTTAATAAAAAAGACGTCAAATCTTCTAAATAGTTACATGTCAATTTATTTAGTCAATGGTGTATGTATAAGTATAATTATTTAGGACTACCATTTCATCACTGTGTTTGTGAATGGCCTGCTCAGACACGGACTGGAGATCTGATTGAATTACATTATTTGTGATAATTGTCAGAGCTTTGTCTTTTCAACTATCCTAGTGTGTAAATTCCCTACAGGCATTTCTAATCATGCAGAATCAGACACTGGTTGTTTTCCAGCTTACAGGCATTTCTACAATCCCATGTTGGGCTAGACTGCCCTTAACTGAGTACAATCTTTACAGAATATTATGAAAATATCTGGCATGGTGGGTATAATGAGTCAGTTTTGGAGTCTGTATGTCATGATGGTCTCTTTGATTCATTTTAGTAAGGGCAAAGCTAATTAAATCCACCGTATTACAGCTTCTTCATGCAATTACCCTGTGCCCCTCTTCATTGATTGGACAGCATGGAGGCAGTGGATTGGACAGCAGGCTTACCAAGACCACAGAGACCTATAACATCGAACAATGTAGAGGGCCCTATCATACAGTTAACAAAGATGAATCACTGCAACAAAAAAAGCTTTGTGCTGCAGCACCTATTGCAAAGCAGAGATTTCTTCCCAGTAATCTGATGTGAAATTCCACTTGATCAGGACAATAGAATCAATTACAACCCTACATAAACACAAAGCATTAACTTTGGAGCACATTAGCATTCCATTAATCATCTTCAACATTAAAAGTGTTGTAGAAACAGCAAGTCTGCCTTCAGCTGACTGGCAGAGTGTGTCTGTTGCAATGCCTGCAAATAACATGTTATCAAAGAGAGTGCAATTAACCTCCAACATGGTGGACAATAGTAAACCATGTCCTTATTAAAGACATGAACATTGGACATGGTGTTCAACAACCACCCCAGACATCAGAGGACCCTGCTCTTGCAGCTACTGTCATGGAGTATAAGCTGAATAAATCAAATTACCCAGGCTTAACATCTCTCGGTATCTCTTTTTTTGTAAAAAATATAATTTAGCAAGTTTGGGATAAACTTACCTATGAAACAGGATTATGCTTCCTTTTTTTTGTAAACATGAGCAGAGTTTGGACATAGCAGACGAAGTAAGCAGAAAGGCAGAGACCGAGGCCGAGATTGAACCTCTGGGGATAAGCTTTTTTATTACAAAGCAAATCCTGACAAATAATCATCACTGCCTGTGGATTTTGGTAAGATCCACATAATCACCCCCAGGCCCCACCCTCGGGCCTGATCATTCACCTTCGGATCCAGACAGCCCTCCACTTCACTGAGCTGAACCACAAACAGACTTACTGACAGCAAGGCAAGAAAAACTCCAAAAATAAGTTTCAATATATAGATATAGATTTGTACATCAGTTAAGCCTGGCTAAAGCTAACCCAAAGCCTGTTGGTGTACAGAAAGGGGTTTTGCCTTGGAGTCCAACCTTTTCTCCGGCACCAATTCCTATAAATCAATGACCTGTCTATAACAATGTTACTCTGATGAGTAAAGCATTAGTTTAAGCTTTGAACAACCAGGGTAGGACCTGCAGGCTTTTATGCAAATATTTGTTCCTTGGAAAATGTCACAGCTGTCAGTCACATCTGTAAACTGGAGTGAAAAAGGAAATAGCATCACCCTTAGAACACATCAGTACAACTAACTTCTGTTGGCTCATCTAATCTCAGACTGTTCACACCAGATCAGTGTTGTCCATTTGACTGAGTGGACAGTGCTGATCAACTCCAGGAACAATCAATTATGAATGCAGTCAGATCCCTGAGGTGATTACTGGCTACTCTCCTCTGACCTCCAGAGAATTCAGCAGCCAGTCTCTAACGGGCCACTGAACCCGACTACAGCAGTCAGTCAAACTGCCGACATGACGACAGCTGGCACAACATATCTACTTACATTAAATTATTGCTGCGGGAGCTATGGCGCAACACAAACATGCGCTGTAAACCTTTCCATGTACATATGTAGAGATACAAACTGCAACACTCATGCTGCTGTAATGATACATGCAATCACATGCACACATATAGACAAAAACATACACAGACACTAAACATGTGTGTTTCGGATCTAATCTATAGGCTTATATAGCACAAAACATCTACGTAAATCTGCCCTCACATGGAAATACCTTCTGGACACACAAGAGACACATGATTGCTTTGTCATGCATGGGACAGTCCAACCATCAGAGCAAGTGATGCATCTGCTGACAATGATAATGCACTTTCACTCTGCCGTCACTCTGAGTCTCCCGGAGCCATCTTTACAGAGATTTCCCAGTGAAGATGGTGTTATGTAACAGCGGCCGTGGACCCTGCTGTTCATATCACTAATGCCTCACACTGTGGCGGAGTCACGTGCTTTATCCAGGCCACATTCAGGCAGCAGCAGCAGCGTTCCAGCTGTTACTACAGCCGAGCCTCAGTCACTCAGGACCATGCTGAGCCATGCTCCGCTCACACTGCTACACCCTCCACTGAGCAGCCATGTTCAGCACATCAGCACTATTCCTTTCACTTTCACTTGCCTCTCTAGCACTGAGGACACACTCTAACCTAGCAATCCGGTTTAGTAACGGGTTAGGGCAGCACAATTAATGGAAATCACAATTTTAGATTTTTGCAATTAAATGGACATGATTGACTGCAGATTGACATTGTTTCCTGCAGAAAAAAACAAAATTAGTATATTCAAAATGAATCTTATTTTAAGTCTTATTCTGATGCCGTGATATGTACAATAGCAGAAATGTAGCA